CTTCTACATTAGTGTAGATGCTACCATGATTACAGATAATCATAAATTAATCATGAATAATGATGAGTGAGAAAGTTACAGATGCACAAAGATCTGGTTAGTATTTTTGGGTGGGTATGATATTTGTTCCTCTGTAACTTTCTCACTCATCATTATTCACTATTCATTCATGATTATCCATAATCGTGGTAGCGTCCACATTAATGTAGAAGTGTTCAGAAACATCTTCTATTCTTATTTACCATAAAAGTGACACCAAAATGACACAATACATTATTCATCGTTCATTTCCTATTGGGAAAACGATAATCCGAAACACAACCAAGATAAATTGCAAATGCATCCAAAAAGTTTGTAGAGACACAAGCTGCATGTAGTCATTGCATGCTCGGAATATGGGACCAAATACTAAACTTTTAGCTACTTGAATACACTATAAGTGAATTTGTCCAAATACTTATGAAAATAGCCTCAAATAGAAGGTGATATTCCGTACTGTCACCTCATATGAAACATTGTATCTCAAATCCAAAATGCTGGAGTATAGAGCCACATTTTACAAATTTGAGCGTACGAATTTTAAATACGTATGGAGTGTATAATGCTACATATGTTAGGAAGCCCAAGTTGCTTGTTAGGGTCAATACTTCTTCATGCCCTCTACATATGGTAAATGCGGTATACTAATAGGACATGCTCAATATAAAATACATAGCTATTGCAGTCATGCCACCTTTCAATTAAAAAACAACAACAAAAACATCATAGCACATGCAGCTCTGCAAGAATAATATTAAACAGTCTAGTATACAAATTAAATCAAATACAGTAGGTTAGTTCAAATTAACTCACACAATCATAATGGCTACAATAAAGTGTGTCTCTTTCTTTATTATCGCCATAGCTGAATATGTATTCAGATACAGTAGGTTTACACCAACAGCTATGAGGCAAACATGGATGGCTTCACAATTGTATGACTAAAAGACAAGTCAGCAAAGTCGTTCATGCTCTATAATATGTGTGTTGTGACAGGACTATGTCCTAGGGTTATCACTAATTACTTTATCATCCAAGCTTTATATATACCAATTTGAAACAGTCATTTTGCACATAGAGAGACATCTGGTCTGATCTCACGTGTGCAGCTGATTGCAGGGTTTCCAAATAGAAAAAGTAGTGCTAATCCAGAACGGGAGAGCCGGTGGAGTTGCTGAAATCCTGTGATGCTTAACCAAGTCGAAAACAGAGAGCAGATAGAGTCAGGATAGACAGCTGAGGGGTTCTCACCTATTAGAGAAAGCTGGCGATCGAGCAGGACACACGTTTGGGACTGGGGCAGGCAACTGAAATGCTCTGAGGGTTTTAATGGGATTCTATGATGGCTCAGCAAAACTCTACATTTCTCTTTATGAAATTGGTCCCACTCCAGACCAATGGTTCAGCAAGCTGCTGAAACTCTAGCCACAACCTAACCTCCCTGCATATAAATAACCAACCCTTCAAGATTGTTATTCTAGTTTTATTGCAAATTTATTTAACCACCTGTCAATTGCTTTGATGAGTTACAAAATTACAGTGCAGACGGGATAGTTCACTTCTACATCTTTGTACAGTCTTGATAAAGAGATAAGTATTGGCCTTATATTAAACAACTGTTTCTGAGAATATAATATGCATGTTGACTGACATAACTGACAGAGTGGTGGGTAGCCTAGCGGTTAAGAGCATTGGGCCAGTAACTGCAAGGTTGTTGGGTAGAATCCCCGAGCTGACTAGGTAAGATAAAAATAAAATTGATTGTCCCTTGAGCAAGGCACTTAACACTAATTGCTCCTGTAAGTCACTCTGGATAAGAGCGTCTGCTAGATGTAGAACATGTACATAGTTCTGTGATGGTGGGAGAATAAATAAATATCCTCAATAAATAGACACTTACCACTGAAGACTCCATCTGATGTTTAAGTGAATGTTTCTGTTGAGAGTAGGAAAGTAATAAATTACAGTAAATACAAATGTAGACAGGAAATATCATTTGAAACAATTTTGAAAACATAAAATTGCTTAGTCGATTTATTACTTTTAAAACAATTCAACAATGGACTAATAATATACTTGCTAACTTTTTGATGCAAAAAAAAGGAAAAACGACTAAAGTGTACTCCTGAGTGGCGCAGTGGTCTAAGGCACTGCATCGCAGTGCTAACTGTGCCACTAGAGATCCTGGTTCGAATCCAGGCTCTGTCGCAGCCGGCCGCGACCGGGAGACTCATGGGCGGCGCACAATTGGCCCAGCGTCGTCCAGGGTAGGGGAGGGAATGGCCGGCAGGGATGTAGCTCAGTTGATAGAGCATGGCATTTGCAATGCCAGGGTTGTGGGTTTGATTCCCACGGGGGGCCAGTATAAAAAAATATGTATTCACTAACTGTAAGTTGCTCTGGATAAGAGCGTCTGCTAAATGACTAAAATGTAAATGTAAAGAAACTCACCTTCATTTCAGTTGCCCTAGTGGTAAAAAACAAACAGATTTAGGAATTAAAATTAGCAGAATGGCAGGATCTCTATGGTAAAAAACTAGAAAGACCCCAAAAAGTAGAACATTTAACAGAATAGCAACAAAATAAAGCTGTGCCCAATTTTTCAAGCTCTTAAAATACATATAAAATATTTTAAACAAATCTCATTATTTTACTTAACATGTCTTGAAAAGTGTTCTTTATCCAAATACAGTTGTATAACATGACAGAAAGCATTGATTTCAAAACCCCAAGAAACTTGTTACATGCTGCTCCATTTAGACTCCATTGAGATGAGTATCAACTATAGCAGTGATTTGCGTGTGGACTTCTCAATTTGCGTGTGGACAACTAAGCACTCCAGTCTAGAACAATACCAAGGTCCACTCCATACGGTAAAAGTACAGGATAGCGGTTCCGAGATATACACTATCAGTCAAGAGTTTGGACACACCTACTCATTCAAGGGTTTGTCTTTATTTTTTAAAATGTTTTACATTGTAGAATAATAATGAAGACATCAAAACTATGAAATAACACATATGGAATCATGTAGTAACCAAAGAAGTGTTAAACAAATCAAAATATATTTTACATTTGAGATTCTTCAAATAGCCACCCTTTGCCTTGATGACAGCTTTGCACTATTGGCATTCTCTCAACCAGCTTCATGGGGTAGTCACCTGGAATGAATTTCAATTAACAGGTGTGCCTTCTTAAAAGTTAATTTGTGGAATTTCTTTCCTTCTTAATGCTTTTGAGTCAATCAGTTGTGTTGTGACAGGGTAGGGGGGGTATACAGAAGATAGCCCTATTTGGTAAAAGACCAAGTCCATATTATGGCAAGAACAGCTCAAATAAGCAAAGAGAAACAGCAGTCCATCATTACTTTAAGACATGAAGGTCAGTCAATACGGAACATTTCAAGAACTTTGAAAGTTTCTTCAAGTGCAGTCGCAAAAACTGTCAAGCGCTATGATGAAACTGGCTCTCATGAGGACCGCCACAGGAATGGACCCAGACTTACCTCTGCTGCAGAGGATGAGTTCATTAGAGTTACTAGCCTCAGAAATTGCAGCCCAAATAAATGCTTCACAGAGTTCAAATAATAATAAATAATAATAATATGCCATTTAGCAGACGCTTTTATCCAAAGCGACTTACAGTCATGCGTGCATACATTTTTTGTGTATGGGTGGTCCCGGGGATCGAACCCACTACCTTGGTGGTCCTCTGTAGCTCAGCTGGTAGAGCACGGCGCAAATAACAGACACAGCTCAACATCAACTGTTCAGAGGAGACTGTGTGAATCAGGCCTTCATGGTCAAATTTCTGCAAAGAAAGTGATACTAAAGGACACCAATAAGAAGAAGAGACTTGCTTGGGTTATGAAACACAACCAATGGACATTAGACCGGTGGAAATGTGTCCTTTGGTCTGGAGTCCAAATTGGAGATTTTTAGTTCAAACCACCATGTCTTTGTGAGATGCGGTAAGGGTGAACGGATGATCTCCGCATGTGTAGTTCCCACCGTAAAGCATGGAGGAGGAGGTGTTATGGTGTGGGGGTGCTTTGCTGGTGACACTGTCTGTCATTTATTTAGAATTCAAGGCACACTTAACCAGCATGGCTACCACAGCATTCTGCAGCGATACGCCATCCCATCTGGTTTGGGCTTAGTGGGACTATCATTTGTTTTTCAACAGGACAATGACCCAACAAACCTCCAGGCTGTGTAAGGGCTATTTTACCAAGAAGGAGAGTGATGAGGTGCTGCATCAGATGACCTGGCCTCCACAATCACCCGACCTCAACTCAATTGAGATGGTTTGGGATGAGTCGGAAGGTAGAGTGAAGGAAAAGCAGCCAACAAATGCTCAGCATATATGGGACCTCCTTCAAGACTGTTGGAAAAGCATTCCAGGTGAAGCTGGTTGAGAGAATGCCAAGAGTGCGCAAAGCTGTCATCAAGGCAAAGGGTGGCTATTTGAAGAATCTCAAATATAAAATATATTTTGATTTGTTTAGCACTTTTTTGGTTACTACATGATTCCATATGTGTTATTTCATAATGTTGATGTCTTCACTATTCTACAATGTAGAAAATAGTACAAATAAAGAAAAACCCTGGAATGAGTAAGTGTGTCCAAACGTTTTACTGGTACTGTAGCATTTTAGTTCTCTTAGTGTATCAGCTTGACAAAATATAAATAATAGAAATTAAGAAAGATTTCCTTTAAAGGCAATTTATTAGAAAAGTTTTCCACTTTTACCTCTACTACAGTGAGTAAAGCAGTAAACCAACTGTCAAACAATTACACACATCTTGTTTCTGTTTTTTGTCTGTTTCTTTCGGTCTTCAAAATAAACAAAAATGTGTTACATAGTTACAATATTGGTTGTAATGGGTATCAGTATGTGGTTGACAGCAAGACGTTACAGGAGAGTAGTCATCCACATCACACAAACAAAGCCCAATGATCTAAGAATCTCCCTGAAACATCTTCTTCCTGCCATCCATGCCAGCCTTGTCATCAATGTTCTTACGCCAGTCACCAACGTCACGCAAATCCTTATCCTGTGATGATAGAAAGGGTGAGAAGACAATGAACGGTGGAATTGTAAGGCCTAAAGTTCATTCAACATGAACAATGTCTCCCGATGGGATATCTCTATAATATAATGTGTTAGCCTAATGGACAGATACTCACCTCTTTCTTCTCATCTTTCTTAACTTGTTTCAGGTTGGATCTCAGATCCATGGTCACCTTGTGCTTGGAGCCGAGCAGAGCCTGGAGCATAGCATCAGCAGACATACGCACTTTCTTCAGAGCTGGCTTCTTGAACTTGCCCCTCATGTCAACGATTTTTATGTTTAGGTCTATAACCTGGTGGGTGGAATATTTTAACAGGAAAATCAGTCATTCAGGAGGGGTCAACGGAGGAAACAATACGCCTTGAGACAATTGAGACATGGATTGTGTATGTGTGCCATTCAGAGAGTGAATGGGCAAGACCAAAGATTTAAGTGCCTTGGTGCCCAAGCACCAGTGGAAACAAAGTAGCCCCATAACATCAAAGATCCACAACCATATTTTACAGTAGATATGGGGGGTTATTTTCTGCATATAATTCCTCTTTTCAACGCCCAACCCACCACTGGTGTGTGTGGCAAATTATATTTATTTTCATGTCATCTGACCATAGCACCGGTTCCAATCCAAGTGCCAATGCCGTTTACCAAACTTCCAGGCGTTTACATTTGTTGGATGACATGAAAATAGAGCTCTTTTCCCAAAAACATCAGTGGTGGGTTTTTTTGTCAAAAAGAGGAATCATATGCAGAAAAGAACCCTATACCTACTGTAAAATACGGTGGTGGATCTTTGATGTTGTAGTTGCCTCTGCCAGGAGGCTGAAGCTTGGCCGCATGTGGATCTTCCAGAAAGACAATAACCCCAAGCACACATCAAAATACACAAATAAATGGTTAATTGGCCCCAAAATCAACATTTTGCAATGGCCATCTGGGTCAATAATTTGGACCTTTACCTTTTTGAGGAAAAAAAGTACTGCTTGTTAAACAAAATCTACTTCTCTGACCAATTGTATTTTAATAAAATATTATAATTTCCCAATATTTCTGAGAATACATCACATCACATCACATCAAACAAATCAAATTGTATTGGTTGTGTACACATATTTTCCAGATGTTACAGTGGCTTGCGAAAGTATTCACCCCCCTTGGCATTTTTCCTATTTTGTTGCCTTACAACCTGGAATTGTTTTTTTTTTACCCATCTACCCTTCTTTGAGAGGCATTGGAAAACCTCCCTGGTCTTTGTGGTTGAATCAGTGTTTGTAATTCACTGTTCGACTGAGGGACCTTCAATTATATGTATACCTTTTTGCAGCAATTACAGCTGCAAGTCTCTTGGGGTATGTCTCTATAAGCTTGGCACATCTAGCCACTGGGATTCTTGCACATTCTTCAAGGCAAAACTGCTCAAGCTCCTTCAAGTTGGACGGGTTCCACTGGTGTACAGCAAACTTTAAGTCATACCACAGATTCTCAATTGGATTGAGGTCTGGGCTTTGACTAGGCCATTCCAAGACATTTAAATGTTTCCCCTTAAACCACTCGAGTGTTGCTTTAGCAGTATGCTTAGGGTCATTGTCCTGCTGGAAGGTGAACCTCCCTCCCAGTCTCAAATCTCTGGAAGACAAAAAGGTTTCCTTCAAGAATTTCTCTGTATTTAGCGCCATCCATCATTCCTTCAATTCTGACCAGTTTCCCAGTCCCTGCCGATGAAAAACATCCCCACAGCATAATGCTGCCACCACCATGCTTCACTGTGGGGATGGTGTTCTCGGGGTGATGAGAGGTGTTGGGTTTGCGCCAGACATAGCGTTTTCCTTGATGGCCAAAAAGCTCAATTTTTGTCTCATCTGACTCATCTGTCCATATGTTTGGGGAGTCTCCCACATGCCTTTTGGCAAACACCAAACGTGTTTGCTTATTTTCTTCCATAAGCAATGGCTTTTTTCTGGCCACTCTTCCATAAAGCCCAGCTTTGTGGAGTGTACGGCTTAAAGTGGTCCTATGGACAGATTCTCCAATCTCCGCTGTGGAGCTTTGCAGCTCCTTCAGGGTTATCTTTGGTCTCTTTGTTGCCTCTCTGATTAATGCCCTCCTTGCCTGGTCCATGAGTTTTGGTGGGTGACCCTCTCTTGGCAGGTTTGTTGTGGTCCCATATTCTTTCCATTTTTTAAGAATGGATTTAATGGTACTCTGTGGGATGTTCAAATTTTCTGATCTTTTTTTATAACCCAACCCTGATCTGTACTTCTACACAACTTTGACCCTGACCTGTTTGGAGACCTCCTTGGTCTTCATGGTGCCACTTGCTTGGTGGTGCCCCTTGCTTAGTGGTGTTGCAGACTCTGGGGCCTTTCAGAACAGGTGTATATATACTGAGATCATGTGACAGATCATGTGACACTTAGATTGCACACAGGTGGACTTTATTTAACTAATTATGTGACTTCTGAAGGTAATTGGTTAAACCAGATCTTATTTATGCGCTTCATAGCAAAGGGGGTGAATACATATGCACGCACCACTTTTCCGTTATTTTTTATAAACAAGTTATTATTTTCATTCCACTTCACCAATTTGGACTATTTTGTGTATGTCCATTACATGAAATCCAAATAAAAATCAATTTAAATTACAGGTTGTAACTAACAATACAAAACAATACACATAAATCCCCCCCAAAAATGTATTACAAAATTAAGAAATATCAGAACGAGCAATGTCCGAGTCCGGAATATATATATACAGTTCGAAGTCAGAAGTTTACATACACTTAGGTTGGAGTCATTAAAACTTGTTTTTCAGCCACTCCCCACATTTCCTGTTAACAAACTATATTTTGGGCAAGTTGGTTAGGACATCTACTTTGAGCAAGACACAAGCAATTTTCCCAACAATTGTTTAGAGACAGATTATTTCACTTATAATTCACTGTATCACAATTCCAGTGGGTCAGAAGTTTACATACACTAAGTTGACTGTGCCTTTAAACAGCTTGGAAAATTCCAGAAAATGATGTCATGGCTTTAGAAGCTTCTGATAGGCTAATTGACATAATTTGAGTCAATTGGAGGTGTACCTATGGATGTATTTCAAGGCCTACCTTCAAACTCATTGCCTCTTTGCTTGACATCATGGGAAAATCGAAATAAATCTGCCAAGACCTCAGAAAAAAAATTGTAGACCTCCACAACTTATTGTGGGAAGCTTGTGGAAGGCTACCTGAGCAAGGAGGCCTACAAACCTGACTCAGTTACACAAGCTCTGTCAGGAGGAATGGGCCAGAATTCACCCAACTTATTGTGGGAAGTTTGTGGAAGGCTACCCAAAACATTTGACCCAAGTTAAACAATTTAAAGGCAATACTACCAAATACTAATTCAGTGTATGTAAACTTCTGACCTACTGGGAATATGATGAAATAACTAAAAGCTGGAATAAATCATTCTCTCTACTATTATTCTGACATTTCACATTCTTAAAATAAAGTGGTGATCCAAACTGACCTAAAACAGGCAAATCTTACTAGGATTAAATGTATTTGGCTACGGTGTATGTAAACCTCCGACGTCAACTGTATATACAGTGGGGAGAACAAGTATTTGATACACTGCCGATTTTGTAGGTTTTCCGACTTACAAAGCATGTAGAGGTCTGTAATTTTTATCATAGGTACACTTCAACTGTGAGAGACGGAATCTAAAACAAAAATCCAGAAAATCACTTTGTATGATTTTTAAGTAATTAATTTGCATGCTATTGCATGACATAAGTATTTGATACATCAGAAAAGCAAAACTTAATATTTGGTACAGAAACCTTTTTTTGCAATTACAGAGATCATACGTTTCCTGTAGGTCTTGACCAGGTTTGCACACACTGCACCAGGGATTTTGGCCCACTCCTCCATACAGACCTTCTCCAGAACCTTCAGGTTTCGGGGCTGTCGCTGGGCAATACGAACTTTCAGCTCCCTCCAAAGATTTTCTATTGGGTTCAGGTCTGGAGACTGGCTAGGCCACTCCAGGACCTTGAGATTCTTCTTACGGAGCCACTCCTTAGTTGCCCTGGCTGTGTGTTTCGGGTCGTTGTCATGCTGGAAGACCCAGCCACGACCCATCTTCAATGCTCTTACGGAGGGAAGGAGGTTGTTGGCCAAGATATTGCGATACATGGCCCCATCCATCCTCCCCTCAATACGGTGCAGTCGTCCTGTCCCCTTTGCAGAAAAGCATCCCCAAAGAATGATGTTTCCACCTCCAAGCTTCACGGTTGGGAGGGTGTTCTTTGGGTTTTCCTCATTCTTCTTCTTTCTCCAAACACGGCGAGAGGAGTTTAGACCAAAAAGCTATATTTCTGTCTCATCAGACAACATGACCTTCTCCCATTCCTCCTCTGGATCATCCAGATGGTCATTGGCAAACTTCAGACGGGCCTGGACATGCGCTGGCTTGAGCAGGGGGACCTTGCGTGCGCTGCAGGATTTTAATCCATGACGGCGTAGTGTGTTACTAATGGTTTGCTTTGAGACTGTGGTCCCAGCTCTCTTCAGGTCATTGACCAGGTCCTGCCGTGTAGTTCTGGGCTGATCCTCACCTTCCTCATGATCATTGATGCCCCACGAGGTTAGATATTGCATGGAGCCCCAGACCGAGGGTGATTGACCGTCATCTTGAATTTCTTCCATTTTCTAATAATTGCGCCAACAGTTGTTGCCTTCTCACAAAGCTACTTGCCTATTGTCCTGTAGCCCATCCCAGCCTTGTGCAGGTCTACAATTTTATCCCTGATGTCATTACACAGCTCTCTTGTCTTGGCCATTGTGGAGAGGTTGGAGTCTGTTTGATTGAGTGTGTGGACAGGTGTCTTTTATACAGGTAACGAGTTCAAACAGGTACAGTTAATACAGGTAATGAGTAGAGAACAGAAGGGCTTCTTAAAGAAAAACTAACAGGTCTGTGAGAGCTGGAATTCTTACTGGTTGGTAGGTGATCAAATACTTATGTCATGCAATAAAATGCAAATTAATTACTTAAAAATCATACAAAGTGATTTTCTGGATTTTTTAGATTCTGTCTCTCACAGTTGAAGTGAACCTATGATAAAAATTACAGACCTCTACATGCTTTGTAAGTAGGAAAACCTGCAAAATCGGCAGTGTATAAAATGCTTGTTCTCCCCACTGTATATACATATGCAGTGAGGGAAAAAAGTATTTGATCCCCTGCTGATTTTGTACGTTTGCCCAATGACAAA